TCATGTGTTTTCTTTGTCAAAGGCTCAAGGTGACTTTTTGGGCAACCAGGTTGAGTTGAGGGTACAGTAGTCCATGTGGCATCCAGATGTTCCACGACCACTAACTTCCTTTGGAAGGCTCCTTACTGAGCACCCCACACAGTCAGGTACATCAGGCTACATCCATATCAGGTGTGCTGGCTGTTAAGCGTGGAGGCACTGATTTCAAGACCTGTGAAATGAAGTATGTCTAATTCAAAGATGAAGAGTTACAGAAGATGTGCACTTGAATAATCTATTGGGGAGCTGCATTCATTCAGTTAGTTTGCCTTCCTAATGACTTTGTCTGAAGCTTTTCTTCTGCCCAATTCCTAGCCCAGAGATCTTTCTTAAACCTATTTCTTTTGTTTTATATTTTTCATGTAATTTAATCTATTTGCAGCTGCATTCCCCAAAGCCAAGGACGGTAAGTAGAAGATGGTATGTGCTGGAAAAAGAAAACTATTGAATGAGAGAATAAATTACCTTATGGTACATTTAAAATCAACCTAAAATTAACCTTTTATAGTTATCATGATACTTCTGACTTTTTTGTTTGTTTTGATGTGCTCAAAGCAAGCACAGTGAATTATAATTTTAATTAGTGTCAGAATATAATTTAGAGAAAAAACTTGCAAATAAGTCATTAATGTTTTAGTTATCAAAATACATTTTATTATCATGTTCACTTTGGTATTGTTCATGCTGCTATACTCATTAAATCTGATTCTTATTAGCTTATTATCTTATAATCTTGTTAGTGATTTTGTCAATATTATATTTCTCTTCTAAACTTTGAAGGTGATATATATATATATAATACATAATATTATATTAATATTTTATATCTCTATCTATTTATCTATCTATCTATCTATCTATCTTTCTATCTATCTATCTATCTATCTATCTATCTATCTATGTATCTATATTTTTTTAGTACCAGGGATTGACTCAGGACCATGTGCTTGTGAGGCAGGCAGAGGAACCACTCAGCTAAATCCCTGGCCCTGTTGTATCAATATTTGTATTCACTTTGCACTTGGGTCTCTATCTATTTATCTATCTATCTATCTATCTATCTTTCTATCTATCTATCTATCTATCTATCTATCTATCTATGTATCTATATTTTTTTAGTACCAGGGATTGACTCAGGACCATGTGCTTGTGAGGCAGGCAGAGGAACCACTCAGCTAAATCCCTGGCCCTGTTGTATCAATATTTGTATTCACTTTGCACTTGGGTTATGATAGAACACACATTCCTAACCAGTTCCCTCCTTTTTCCTAATTAACACTGATGACTAAAAGGTTGCTTGAATGTCTCAGCAAGAAAAATCTGGTTAATGTTGTCTGCTAGTGTGAGAAGCAGGGTTTTGTCATTAAATTTAAAAAAGTCACCAATTTACACAAACTGCTAACTGTATTATTAATTTTTGTGATGGCATAGGGTAAAGTATGGGTTCAGATTCTGATTCTGCCATTAAATAGCTGTGTTAGGTTAAGTAAATTATTAGCCCTTTCTGTGCCGTACTTTCCTCATTTGAATCCTTAGGTCACAGTGCTGTTGCAAGAGTTAAAATTGCTGATATACATGAAGCATTTTAAACTGTAGAACAGAGCCCAATAGTGTACTCTATGTTCCAGCTGTTATTATTTCCTTTTAGACTGACATCTCCTTTTGTTCTAATTTAAAGGTTTTGTGTTAGAGTTTGAATATTGTGATTGATCTAAGCAAAATAAAAACAATTGATATCTGTATTTACCCAAGAGATGAAATAAATAACTTGGGTCATGTTGCACATCAAAGGCTATGCCTATCAGTGTTCAGGTAAGACAGAGAGAGAGAGAGAGAGAGATCTGTGTCATTGGACATAACTCAGATTGAACATTAGGTCCTGTTCACAGTACAATCATTTTATGCATAGACAAAAAATATTTTCTAGGATGATACCATTAAATAATTTGAAATAATATGTAGTGTTATGAGCATAATTTGTTGAAAACCTAAGAACAGCAATTTTTGCTTAATATGCAAATTAGGTAAATGAATTTAATAACTATTAACATGCTGGCAGTACAGGTATCTTTCTCTTTCAGATTATGTGAACCATCATTTTTTGAGTTCTAAAATATTACCTTTTAATCATATGCACAAGAAGAAAACACAGTATAGTAAAATACTACTACTAGTGGTAGTAATTCCTGCATCCAGATAGTTTTTTATTTTCTTCATAGGGTGAAAAGTAGATTGTTAGTTTTTTTAGTAAGATTATTTTACTGACAGATAATAATGCTAAAATGTTTCTTCCTTATTAGTAACAATTCAGTGAGTTATCTATCAACAATCAACAAATGAGATACATATTACAGATAAAACACAATAAAACAATAGTGTTTCACACTTAAATAAAATTATTTTAAAAATTTTCTAGCAAACTTAAGATTTACAGGTATTTTCTTTTTATCACATAGCTTTATGTATTGTCTTGACTTCCAAATGCCAACAGAACAAACTAAACAAAAATAAAACACTTTCAGTACACAGGTAAATAACTATATGTTAAATAAGGTTAATACAATGAACGAAGTTACTGTTTTCTTTTCCTGTAGCTAAAATTACTTAAGCAGGAGGAGATACAAAGGAGACTGTTACAGATGCTACTGCTGTTATTGCTTTCCTTTTTGCCATCATCTTTGCATTAGTGAACTTTCCCATTGCTGGGACGAAGTACCTGGTTGGCACTTGGAGTGTAAAGGCGGAGAGGTTTATTTTGGCTCGTGGTTTCAGAGCTGTCTGTCCGTCTTTGGCTGACCGATAGCAGAAAGGTCTCAGCAGAAAGGCGTGGTGGAACAAAGCTGCTCATCCCTGAGTGGCTTAGAATTAGAGAAAAACGAGGAAGAGGCCTTCGGAGGCAGCCCCCAGTGACTCTCCTTGCCCACAGAGCTCAGCAGTGAGGACTCAGTGAGGACTGCAGCACCCACGATCCAATCACCTTCTAAAAACCTTGTCTCTGACCTCATGTGACTTAGGGGATGTTTTAGACCTAAGCAAAACGACCATAAAGAGAAAAGCATTCTAGAAGTGCCAGAGGAGTGAAATTAAGTAATTTAAAGACTAGATGAGGGAGAAATGAGTGAAAAAAGCATCTTGGATATCTCTCAGGGTTTTTTTTTTCCTTTTCCTTTTTGATCACATTTTATTGCATCTATATAAAGTACGCATGATGTTATGGCACACATATAGATAATAAAAAGGTTACTATAGTGGAGAAAATTTACATGTCTGTGATGTGATATAGCTACTCATTTTGTGTGTTTTTATCTGTGCAATGACAGCTAAAATCTCATTTAGTGTGAGTCCCAGCTACTGTACAATTTTATTGCCAGGTTTCTTATTTGATAAAGTGGACAAACATAAATGAACTAATCAGAACAAAATATAGAGGGTATGCAAGATAGAAAGGTAAGATAATGACTTCAGAATAATTCATGCTGAATTTGAGTTGTTTTTGCAGTATACAAATGAGAGTCCCTGGGGGACATGTGGGTGTTTAGAGATGGGGGAGGGGAGGTTAACAGAGGCCTAGAATTAAGACAAGCACATTATATCCACTTACGGTTGGAAATTAAATTAGTTTCCTAGATGTTAAAAGCCCTTGTTCTACTGACGATGAAAAGCTACACTTTCCCACAGTCAAAAAGGAGAGGCCAGGAAATGCCATTTAGTTGGGGCCACTGCTACATAATGCTGTGGACCCATAGTGTGAGGACCTGTGTGCCCCTAGTTGGCTTTGAGCCTCGGGATCTAGCTGTTAGTCTCATGATGCAGTCTCAGAGACAGAAAACGGGACAAGGAAGGTCTTGCTTGAAAAGTAGCCATTGAGTTAGGCAGCAAGGAGCTCACTTTTGCCCCAGTAGGTCAGGGGGCTCGCTGGATGCATGTAGGATGCTCAGGTTGGCCCCAGAGGGACTCAAGCGAGTGGATGAATTTTGGATATTTTAGTCAGAGGGCTGGCTCTGAGGAGATGGACAGACAGATAAAAGTTTTATATTTGCTGAAGGTATGTGTTTTTGTTTTGTATTGTGTATCGGAAATCAAACTCAGAACCTTGTGTTTGCGAGGCAGGTGGCAGAACCACTGAGCTAAATCCCCAGCTGAAAGTATATTTTTTTTTTGTTTTGTTTTGTGGTACTGGGATTGAACTCAGGACCTTGTGCTTACGAGGCAGGCTCTGTGCCACTGAGCTAAATCCCCAAGACCTACCCCCCTTTCTGTATATAGCCAAGGTCTAGCATCCTGCCATGTTTGCATGTTATTAAATGAAAGAATAAATACAATAGTGATTTTGAGCTACTGTTCAGTCTGAATAACTAGCTTTTGACAAGGCAGCATCTGTAGTTTCCTTCTGGAGGTTACATTTCATCACATTTTTTAAAAAGCCATGTGCATGTGCATGTTTGCTTGTTTTAACATTTTAATAGTTTAAATTATGACATCTGTGTGAAGTATACTTGGTTTTATCAGAAATTATGGATCAAGTGTTATGTGTTTTAAATAACCAAATGTTATGTTTATATACAACAGTTTTTTGAAATTATTTTGAAGTTCATAGCCCTGAGACAGATATGGAAGCTTTTTAAACAAGTTATCAATGAACCAGTTAAATAAAGACCCCTATTAATGAGTAGTACATTGACAGGAATTGGTTAATATAACATTTTAACAGAAATTTAGTTATGCACAGATATTAGAGGGAAGAGACAGCAAACTTAGTGCAGGCGACTGATCTCTGAGTGTTGGGTTTACTCTCGGCTGTGTCTCTTCCACTGCCTATCCTGCATCTGCCCAGCTGGGCTGGAGCCCTGGGTGAAGCAGGCCAGTGCAGGAGCTGGGATCTGAGCCCAGGAACAGTGATGGCACAGGGCTTGCTCTGCTAAGTCACACTTTTCTGACCTAGCGGCTTCCTTTATTCATAGGTGAGCGTCCCTATCAATGTCCTTACTGTGAAAAAGGATTCAGTAAAAATGACGGACTCAAGATGCACATTCGTACACACACCAGGGTAAGATCGTATTTTGGCTCATTAACATTATTCTTAAAAATTGTACTCATTTTCAAAGAAATATATGTGATTTTATATGAGAAATATTGCATTGGAAATTGTATGTTTATGTTGGTCATTTGACGACAAAATTTTAAAAGGGAAATGAATGAGAAATAATCCCAACAGTGTCTTAATTCTTTGAATTACGAATCAATTTTCAGGATTTACAGATGACAAACTGCCAGATAAGTGGATTTGAATATTTTAATATAAAAATATAAAGGTTTTGTCTTGTAGACTATTCACCAGGAACATTCTTGGAGAGAGGCAAAGGTTGTCAGCATTTGTAAGACGATACTTACAAGCAAGTATCATTGCATGGGGAGGTGTTACAAATGATTTGAATTGTTGGGAGAACTGGAAAACATGGACGCGTCACTCAGTGCACTTCTGGCTCAAACCCAGTGCAGTGTTTCACCCTTTTTCTGGTGCTGCCCTGTGCTCTGTGCCGTTAGCACCTCTCGCTGTACTGTTGTCATTTTGGTATTTATGGCTTCCCCAGACTCAAGTCTCGTGTGCTTAAGAAACAATGTGTGCAGCTAGCACTACATCCAGATGCTTATAGCTCACTGTTGGGTTTAGGGCACAATTAGAAACTTTATATGAACTTTCCACATGGAAATTTTACGTTGTTTTAAATACCTATTCATGGTTTTGCTTTTGGCTATTTTTCTTGCTTTCTCTTCCACACATTTTCCCTTTCATTTTGGCTTTCTAAAAGTGCTTATCAGCTACACATGCACGATACATTTTCCCACATTTTAAGACATGGGCTTGATCCCCTGAAGAGCAATTCTAATTTAGGCCTCCCTTGAATTTTACTTTTACTTATGAAAAATAAACTTTGCAGAAAACACATAATAATATCTTTCTCGATGCAGTAATATTTTAGCCTTCTCCTTCAGTTCTGAAGTCCTGGGTCCTATTAAGAAGGTACTCTTGCCCTGATGCTGGGGAAGAGAGGAAGCAGTTCCACAGCAGCTCTCTCACTTTGCTTTATAATAGCACATTCATATTACATGAATATTAGAAGCTGGAACATTTACTAAATGTATTTCAAATACTTCATAAACTATAAGCAGTTGAGCAAATATTACTGCCTTTAATAGTATGGTTTAAATGACAGTGTTCAAAATATGTATTTCACAGTGAGTTTTATTAAAGAGGTTTAAGTTCATTTTTAGATTGGTTTAGGAAGTCCTTTTGTATGTGAGTAGCTTTCACAAAAGTGTCAGTAATGTGTTTATTTAAAAGATGCCATCATGTAGGCAAAGGGGTTTTGGTTCTTAATGGAAACTAGTGATGTTAATCAAAATGTTCTTATTACATTGCTTCGCTTGATTACTGATGATATGATTATATCATAGAAAAGGCTGTTTAAACCACTAAAGGAAAAAATTATTTTGGTTTTCTCAAGTTTTAATATTTTTAATTCAATTCATATCCTTTTTAATTTAAACTTATTAATGAGAATAATTCAAGTAGTTAAGTGCAAATACACACAAAGACCACTAATTGCATTCTGGGAAAGACTTCAAATTTGTCAACTAATTTAAGCTTCATAAAACTGGGAAGAAGTTAGTATTATGATCCCATTTTGAAAAATGAGGAACTGAGGCACCTACTGCACAGTTTATCAATTATTTATTTATTTCCTTGGCTTTGTTATGTTTCCCATTACAGTAGACTCTCAAGTTATGACTGGCTTGACATACGAACAACTTGGATTACAACAAGAATTTTAGTTTTAACTTACAACTATGTCTTGAGTTATGACCCCAATGCCAGCTGTTTTTGCTTCCAGATGGTCTCAGCTACAGATTTAATCATTTTAAAGAGTTCTGGAAGGAACATTAAAACGTCCTTTCCTGTGTGGGGTTACCTGAGAAATCTTGGGTCAGTGTCTCTCGAAGGACACTGAGATCTGCCTGTATAGAGACTTTGAAGGCTCAGTAGAGGAGCTTGGCCCTTCAGTTGACCATCTTGATTGACAACCAGCCCTCAAGAACATAAAGTTTGTAAGTCAAGGGTCCACTTTAGCTAAATAAATTAGGACTCCCAAGTTTAACAGTCCATGATTTGGGTTAGTTTTGTGCAGGGACCCTGATACTTTGTCCAGAGGTTAAGCTGCAGGTGGCACCTGTCAGTTCTCGAAAAGAAAGCAAATCCCAACCTTTGGCCTGGAGAAGTCTAAAAAACTCATAGAGGTGGAGCACTCAGGATTTTAGAGAGGAGCTCATACAACTAGTACAGAACATTGTCAAAGTGTAGGGTGAACAAATGTAAATTTGAGCTTAACCTCAAATTCTAATTTTTTTATGCATTATATCACATTTTATCCCAGACAGCTTTTTTATTAGTACATATTAGTAGTACATAATGTTTACATTCCTTCTGGGGAGTTGATGCATTTACATAACACATTTTAATTTCTTTTTTTCATTCACTTTCTCTCCCCTCCCTCCATCTCTTGATGCCCCGCCTTTTTTATTGAGTAGGAAAGATTTATTGAGGGAAAGAAAGCTTTTGTCTAAGAGAGACAGAGGGAGACTGGAAAGTGGATTGCCCCCTCACCCCACTTCTCCAAGATGTTTTATGCAGCAAAGTCATGTGGTGAGGCGGGCAAATACACCGTATATGTTTGCTTTTTTTTTTTTTGTACCAGGGATCGAACTCAGGTCCTTGTGCTTGCAACACAGATGGTGGCACCACTGAGCTAAATCCCTGGCCCATGCCCTTCCCAGAAAGATCTATCTCCATACTTTCTATTGTCTGTCTTTTATTTAGCTTTTTGTTTGGGTTTCTCATATAAGAGCATCCATGTAATATTTAAGCTTGTGTGTCTGATTTACTTCTCTTAACATGTATCCATTTTCTTACAAGTGACTCAAATTTATCTTTCTTCGTGGCAGAGTAGTAATCCATTCTATATAAATGCTACATTTTCCTGATGCAGTCATCTGTCAATGGGCGTTTAGACTATTCCAAAATTTAGCTCTTATGAATTGTGCTTAAATATAAGTGTGCAAGTATCCTTGAAATCCTGTTTCCTAGGCATTGAATAAATACAGATTATTCTTTGCAAATAGATCCAAATTTTCAAAACTATATTAAAGTTATCATCCAGTACAGTGGTGGTGACCTAGGGCACTTGTGTTAGTGTGTTTTTCTTTTAAGACAGAAGATGTTACTATAGAGTTGTCTTTTGTAAACTAAAATCTCAGTATTCAGATTTAATTGCAGCATTAGCACTTTGTGATAAATAAGTAGGTTTTGGGTTGCAGTTTGGTACTTGATCTCTAAAAGATTCTCTATCATTGATCTAGTATAATAAAAGCATTGTCAAGAATCAAGTTTTTAAAAAGAAATTCTAGAGAAACAGTTTGTGTAAAGTAATATTTTTCTGAGTGTTATTTGCTTTAGTAAGCTTAAGGCAAAACAGATCGTTATATCTGAGCCATACCACATTTAAGCTTTACTTTAGTATTTCCACTGCATTTGTATTCAGATGGCCAGATTCTGTCCTGTTTCAAAAGCTTTTAACTCCATTACAACACCACAGTCATGGAAACTACATAATCACAAGGTGCTACCTTTAGGGTGCTTAGTTGATACTCCCTGCAATGTCCTTCCTCTCAGCTTTGCGTTCTGTGACAACTGCACGAACACCTGCAGAAGGAGTTCCAGGTCTAGTCCAGAGTATTGTCTGTAGGGTCCACCGAGAGCCCTGAGTGTGGCGGAGAAGTTTGCTAAAAGGCCTGAAGTCACCGTCTTCCTTCCGTGGAGAGGCTTGAGAGGACAGCTAGTGATCCATTCATTTCCTTCAGAGTAGTTTCTTTGTTTTTGTTTTCAGTGCATTGGCTCCTTTGTACATATCCTATTTTAGGTCCGTAGTCTGTTATCTGTGGTTAGATTTTGGAAAATTTCTCAGACCATTTTCTTCTGAAGTATTTCTTTGGTCCTAATTTTTCCTGTCTTCATCTTTTGGAATTCCAGTTACGTGTGTTAGACTTTTAGCTGTTGTCCCAGAGCTCATGATGGTTGCTCCGTTCCATTCCTTTCTTCTTTTTTTGTCTTATTTACTTTTTTTTTTTTGAATCTTAGGTGGTCGTTATGATTTTGTTTTTCTCACATTTATAACATGTTTTCAGTCTCATTGATTCTTTCCTCTATTGTGTCCATGTTGTCCCAGAGCTCATGATGGTTGCTCCGTTCCATTCCTTTCTTCTTTTTTTGTCTTATTTACATTTTTTTTTTGAATCTTAGGTGGTCGTTATGATTTTGTTTTTCTCACATTTATAACATATTTTCAGTCTCATTGATTCTTTCCTGTATTGTGTCCGGTCTACTTATTGAAAGACTTTATCTTTGATATTTTTTCTATCATTTCCTTTTGACTTTTAAAAAATGATTTTCATAGTTCTGCTGAAATTGCCCACATGTTCATATGTGTGGTATGAGTTTCACTACTTTCTTTGACACATTAATATAGTTGTGGTTCTTTTTTGTTTGTTTGTTTTTTGAGGCAGGGTCTCATTATGTCGCTCAGGCTGGTCTTGGACTCACTGTGTAGCCCAGGCTAGCCTCAAATTTGTGGTGATCCTCCTGCCTCAGCCTCCCAAGTGCTGGGATTACAGGTGTGCACCATCACGCCCAGCAATATAGTTGTTTTAAATTCTGTGATATTTCCACCTCCATGCTATCTTTTTATCTCGTTGTGTTGACTTTTATCTCTTGATAATGGGTAGGAAAAGGCTTTGCTGTATATGCGTAATGTAATCCCTATTATTTTGTATAAAAAGTAGTAGAGAATGAGGTGACTATTATTTATGCTTTGAAATAGTGTATCTCTTCCTCTGACATCATTAATGTGAAGTACTGAGCCAATTTGTTCAGTAGTTGAGCAAGACTTGGATTTTGTTGTTGCTGTGCTTATCACAGGCTTTTAACTCTTCCAG